TTGGAAATGTGCTTAGTTGTCACTGACTCAAAGGAATCTCTTTTTTTTTTTTTTTTTCCTCTAAGATATTGAAACCATCTGAAAAGAAAGCCAAGTACCAGTATGGTGGACTGAATTCTGGGCGTCCAGTCACTCCACCTCGCACAGCTAATCCACCGAAGAAGAGGTGAAGAAAGGAATAATGTAGAAAACACCATCAGATCTGTCAAGGACAAAACTCCATATTACAGTATATAATAAGTGTGCACTGTAAAACCATCCAGCCATTTGACACCCTTTATGATGTCACACGTTTAACTTAAAGAGACGGGTAAAGGATCTTTATTAATTTTTTCTAGTAGAAAGATGTGCGACACTGTATTGTAACAAGTATAGCTCCAAGTTCTAATACCCAGCATAGAGTGAAAAAAAAGGAAAAAACTATTGCAACTACATATTCACATTTACCACGGTTTTTAAAGTTGACCAGCATCCCAGTTAAAACTTGGTGTAATAGTTAAACCAGATGAGAGCATGATGTTCCATTCGTGTAATGTGGTCTTATTGTTGCTTGATTGCTTTTACTTTGGTTATTTGTAGCTAGAATGATGCGAATATGGTATCTAGTCTTATTTCCTGGCTCTGAAATTGAAACGAGGAAGGGGCTTTGTAGAACAGCCATTGAATCTCTCATCCTCCCCCTAGTCCCCCGTTTTGCGTAACAATGCTGCCCAGATGTGTCCCCCATTCTAATGCAAAGTTTATAGTATGGTAGTGATTAAAAGGCAAACTTAACTCCCAAATCCCAGACTGGACAGCTTGACAGCCAGCATACATTGAGAGAAAGAGAAACCTGTCCTGACATTTTAACTTCAACTGCCACACATTGGATTTGTGCACTACACTATTTTAAATTATTGACGTTACACTGTGCAATGGCACTTCATCTAACTTAGGACAAAAATGGTATTGCCTATTAGTTGGTAACTTGATTATGTGGTACCTTGGCTTTAGTTTTATTAGCATGAAACACCTTTGGCATGCTTAGCTTCCAGGTAACTCCCTACCTGCATCAAAACTCATCTTACATAGTTCCACAGAACATGAAGATCCTTATTTGCTAAGCCTTTGAAAGCTGACATTCTTTTTTGCAAGAGGGTCTGTTTAAATGGATGTTCATTGGCATACAATAGGCCAGATGACAAGTGGAGAGCTGAAAATGCTACAGGAATGTCCAACTTTATAATAAGGCTTATGTCACTAAAGATTATATCCTTTGGATTTTCATGATCAAATTTCATATACTATTGTATAGACTTCTGCTTTGTAGTATACTATAGTAGCAATAATTTCTGTACATGATCAAGAGTTATGCAGTATTTCTTTTGAGTTCTCTCCTTTCTTAAAAGAGTTAACATTGGCAAATGGCAAGATACAGAGAAGATACAAAATATATAGTAGGCTAAATGAAAGGCACAGATTTGTGATGCTTTAGGATGCAATACTTATTGGACATAACTACAAAAGCTTTTACTGAATATTGTTAAATTTGTAAGATTCTTTGGGGGAAGGCTTCAGATTTATACCATTCTAAATTTGCATCAGTAGATGTAAAACTCTTGACTTCAGTATTGTCTTTGAAAATGTTAAATTGAGGATTCTGGTAACTTACGTTTTACAAACTGGCACATTATATAATGCAAGAGATGCATTGATTTCTGACACGGTGAGAGCAAGTTCTTGAAAATGGATTTAAGTCTCTTTTCTAATTCCATTTTGTTTTAAATGCATATTTTAAATGTAGGTTTTTCATTTAGTAAAAGTTGTCTAATTCATTTGAATGAAGTCTGACTGGTTATTTTAACATACCTTACTGTTAATCAACAAGTGTGGAGTTGGTTGTTTTTTAAAAAAAGGAAAACTTACAACAAATGTATGTTACTGACTTATATTGGATTGGTCTGGTTTTCAACAATGGCTTATTTTACCCCACCCTGAAGCAAACACCAGTTTCAATGCATAGAATAAAATGTAGAAGTAGATTTCTTCTGATACTGTTCAACGACACTTGTTCTTGAAAGTCAGTGATGAGAGCTGTGTAAGTGAGAGCAACTTTCAGTTTGTAACAAGGTAATGAAATCTGTTCTGTAAGCCTTGACAGGCTAACTTCCTGCTTTAAGTCATTGCTTCCTTGAGGTTTGGTTTTACAAGATTTAAAAATGCTGGGTTTTACCAAGTGCCAGCCTCTGTGTTACCAAACATCTGGATTAATGCTTTTCAGGGTTTTTTTTCCTTTGGTTTCTGGAACAATGTCTTCTGTATCATGAAATGTCCAGGTGTAAAGCTGTATGTTCTGTGAGTACCTAACATGCTCGCTTGTGTTACAGATGCTATGTCAAAAGAAAAATAAAGTCTTTGGGCCTTCTTCTGTGTCCTAAAGAATTAGGAAATCTTTAGTTTATTTTACGGCACTAGAAAGCCAGAGTCTGGTGGTGGTATTCTGAAGAACTGCTATTTATATCGTAGCAGCAATCACTTGGAAAGGATTTGAATGCTGTTTTGATTTCTAGAGAGCTGGGATGTCTGCTAACATCCCTCATCATCCTACATCACGGAAAATATACATGATTTACTAATCTTACCCCTACAGAGATGATTGATATGCCACACTAAAAGCAAGTCCAATACATAACAGAACTCGCCACTTCAGCTTACATTTACAGTGTTAATATAGTTCTCTATTTTTAATATTGTCGGTTCTGGAAGAGGTAGAAAACTGAACCTGAATCTAGTTCTACTCAGATAAAATTAGCTTTCTTCCATGGAAGTTGCTAGTGGCCTAATTGCTGATAATTTTTCTCCACATGAACATCTTGTCTATACAAGCCTTAAATGCTGTTAAATAGCACAGTGTAGTGTGCTGGGAATTAACAGGATTCTCAAAGGAGCTGTTGAGAAGCATATAAAACATTACAACAATCAAGATATATTTTTGCATGTTCCCCCCTTTCCTCTCCCCCTTTTTCTGACAGTAATACTCATTCCTGATTTCATAATAGAGTACAACATGGCACATATAATGTTTTGTCTTGTTCCTTTCTGGTTGATAGGCATTTTGGGATTCCCAAACACTAGCTAAGTGCATATTTTAATTTAAAGCATTGCTGCAAGGAGTGCTTCTTTGGTCTCTTTTGTATTGATTGGGACAAGATTTTTGTTTCACATCACTTTTTTTTTTTTCAGTATACTTTGTATTGCTCATTCTTTTTTATGCATGGAAGATTCATAGTTGCTGCTTTCAAGGAGGAAAAAAGGTGCTTCATATAGTTGTGGTTGTGCTGCTGTAATACATTGAACACTACTACTGCTTAGGTACTGATCTGATTGACGTATTTCCAAAATTGCTGTAGAAACAAACTCACTGAAAACACTAGTGCATCTAGACACACAGAAATATTTGTGGCTCCTGAAGTCCCAGTTGGTCTTTGTGCTTCCAAGTTCAGTGTGATTAACTGCAAGTGTACTGCTGTCAGGTGTCACCGAGCTTCATGATACTGTTCCAAAGACAATCTGCAAGTGTACTGTATTCTCTGTTGAGAGGGGAGCCAGTAGGTAGGTGTGACACAGCTTGCTGTGCTGTGCCAGTGCTGTGCATTGCTGTCTGCTTACTCACTTGGGAAACTGATAGGAATTCTTCAGATCTGTGGAGGGAATTTATTGTCAATAGCCCACATCCCTGTCATGAGGTTGTTTGGTCATAGAGATCCACCTTGCTGTGTTTCTACGCAAGAGGCAGTTGATGGGCAGAAAGGTATCTTTTATATAAAGAAGTGGTCCTGTCTGTGGGTTCTTATGCTAAGTCCAAGAGGATATTGCCATCATACTGTGGAAGCTGTCAGATTTAATTGCTGGAGCTCTCTGCAGTTAGTTTGGGGTTGGAAGACCCACTTTTTTGCTCTGTAGTAATAGATATATAAAAGGCACTATTGCTGTCAAATATGGTTGAATTGAAGGTGACCTGAGAGTAACTCCTTTGGATAGCTAGAATTTTCAGAATATGTACATGACCAGCACAAATGCTGCACACTTGGCTTCTGGTGTAGAGATCAGAGGTTAACAGAAAAGCTCATCTGCTTTGCAGAGGCTTATGTAGATAATAGTTGCAAAAACTTGGTCTTGTGATGGGTGTTGTTTTTCAACTGGGTGTTTGACTTCTTCCTGGCAGACTGTTAATGTTGCAGCCATGGCAGTGTTTCTGGGTCTGTCCTTGCTGTCAGGTTAGCTGGAGATGAAAACACTTTTATAGAAACCTGACACGTAACATTACAGCTTAGCAAAGAGCAGAGCCAGTGACACTGTCGATGTTGCATTGCTTTTGAACTCGTTTGAGTTGTAACTTGATTCACAATTGGCATCTGCTTTGTAATGTACATCAGGATAAATGTGAATATGTGACATCAAATGAACTTGTGAAAAAAGCAAGGATGAGAGAATGTCTCCTGCTGGAGCAGAGATGACTACAGCACAGTCAAATGTCTCTGAGTCCATCTGGGCTAATAATACTCTTTAAAGAGCAGTCACGGGTTTTTAATACAGACCAGAGTTGCAGTAAAGTTCATGCATATAGCTATTCTTGTCAATAAAAAGGAACTTGGTGAATCAATACCAGGTTTGGGATATTTAGGCAAAGCCCTGGATGTTATTTCTCTGCTGTCGGCCGTTTGCTTCTGCTGATTAGCAGTAGAAGCTTTCAAGCTCACTTTCAGAGCAGCTATAAACCTTTTTTTCCTCCTGGATCATACATTGATTCTGCTTGCCTTTGGGGGACAGCATCTAACCAGATGGCTGCATGGAACTCATGGGCTTATAACCAAGCATTCCACTCACTGCATGTACCAGGTGATTAAAGCTGAAGGAACCTCAGACCATGTTGGACTGAACAGTGGAAAACCACGTGGCAGTAAGTCAGTGTTGGGACAGTAAGTTACACAGATAAGACACAAGTTTGGGTACCTGTTTTGCGTTTGTCAGATTCTCATCTTCCATGCATTTCTGGAACTGGTAGTGCCTGAGCATCTTCCCTGCAGATCCCTCAAGCTGTTGGGAAAACCAGCAAAGCTGTCTGGTTATTTATGTATCTTCGTGTCCCTGGTTAAAATAAATAACAACATTAGGTGGTAATAAGGACAACATTTCATTCTCTTTCCCAATATCCTATTTCAGCTCACATTAATATCTGCATCTGTATGTCCCAAGAAATGAGAACTGAGGAATAATTCACAGTAATGATTTGCCACAGGCCCTTACCAATACATGGCCATAATAATCTTTTCCAAGAAAAACTTACTGCTGTCTGGAACCGTTGGAATAGGTGGAGCTCTAAACAGGGTATATGCTCTGCATGTGGCCTAGCACAGCCCCTTT